CTCGAAACATGTAGAGTCATCAACTTTTTGAAGGCCATAGATAGGCCTAAATAAAATGTTTTTAATTGTGTACCAGTTTAACATTGGATATGAAATTGTTTGGAACTTCGTAAGAACTTTCATAAATACATGTGGTTTAAGAAACATAAACCCTGTTACATTTGATAAATTTAGTTCTTTTGCATTATGATCTTTAATATGTTGAAAAATTACATTAGGAAATGGTGAGGATGATGTTGTAACGTCGAAACATGTAGAGTCATCAACTTTTTGAAGGCCATAGATAGGCCTAAATAAAATGTTTTTAATTGTGTACCAGTTTAACATTGAATATTATTTATGATTTTAACTTTATACACAAGTGTCAAAATACTATAATTACAATATTTATATTCGTTCCAGATTTGAACTTCTTACGTTTTATGTTTTAGTACATTATTTTAAAATCTATAAAACCTTTTTATCATCCATAATATGCAAATTTTGTCTATTTTTAATTTTTGAATAATCACATACTCTCCTTATGGCTTCAAGTAATATACTAGACCCAAAAATAATATTTCTAAGTAAACCTAAACAATAAACGAGTATATAGTATATTTTTTTTTAAACTAGGATTTCATGTTTATATATGTACATTTGCTGTAAACTATCATGCCTGTTGGTGGTCACTCTCGTTCAGTCCAGCGCAAGCGTATTTGAACATTACTGTAGATATGATAGTCAGAAGGCTTTTTGGTATTTGAATATCATTTCTTGGAACTTCCAAACAAGATTATTTCAAAATATTTTCTTGTATTTTGTTTGACTATACAGATAAAACTAATTGCCACTACTAGCAAATGTATGTAATAGTTTACAATGCAGGTGGTTTGAATAACACTGCTTGACCCTGGTTATGTGATACAACCTGTTACAAGAGATTACCAAAGGATACAGACTCCATTAATTACAAAGAAAATCACTTTACAGCACACAAAAATTAGTCCTGGCCACATTCCTCTCGTTATAGGCAAGATTTATATTGGAATTTGAAACTTACACTTTTCAGTGTATTGACACCCTAACTGTGAGAATGTCATAACTTCCCCTGTATTATTGAGACAAATGTATTTAGTCTGTTTCACAACCAACATATGAGTTTTATTGTTGTCACTTGTACACCGAGTTTTAAAACATTTGCAAAATTTCAGAATAAACTTTTTATATATCACTTAGACTGTTTTAATTATAAAGCAATAACAGAAGATGTGTGGGTCTTACTACAAAGTAAATATAGTAAGAAGGAAAAATATAAAATTCTTACGAAGTACTAGTCATACATACAAATCACACAAGGTTATCATTCTAAATACTGAATCATATGTTTATTTTAAACTAAATATAAAATTATGCTAAATTATTGAACTTAAAACTACTAATTTAAATGCAAACGAATATAAAAATCACATACTCTTTCAGTTCAAAGTGCTAAGCCTAATTCATGTAAAGACCATGCACTTGGTACTCAATAGATCTTAACCCTAACATTCGTGAATCAACTTCTTTTCTAAAAATACATCTATTTTGAGAAAATTTTTCCATATAATGATTAATATCAATAGATATACGATATAGTGTGATTTAAGCTACTATAGAAAAATAATAAGTTGCATACATCCCATACAATTTTTCCAGAAACATTTTCTAAGGCTTAATAAAAGAAAGTACTGTTGACCACTACTAAATACAACCTCTACATAAGATTTCAATTACTATAATAAGTACCAATCATGTTCATATTGTAAAATCCATAGAACAACGTTTTGTCACGTGCTTTGCTTATCATCCTATGATTTGTCAAACGTGAAATACAGCGATGGTAATAACATGGTATTGAAATTGACATCTCGTCTAGGATTGGCTAAAAGTTTTACAGCTGAGGTTTAACACTCCCAGACACTGTTTTATAAAGAAACTAGGCTAGAAAAATGTTTAGATATCAATCATAGATGGCAGGACCAGTGTTAAAGTGCAAGGAAAAAATTTTTTTAAATGTTGAAAAAAACTTTTTTCTTGGAAAGTGCTTATTTATAGTCTCAAACGTATTTTGGTATTTTTTTTTATAAAACTTCTCTTTAAACATCATTAAATAATACAATTTATGACAAATAATTGGACGTTATGTTACTATTTAGAAAAATAAAATCTGAAATCCAATAAATGGTAAGTTCTCTAAAAAATTTTTCAATTCGCAAATGTGCATTTGCCCTCACGATAAGACAAGATGAGCCCGGTAAATAAGGGGGTTAAATTCATCTAGTTGGTTGATAAAATTATTAAATGGTTCAGCATTGTATAGGTATCACTTTTATAGGACAACTCATTTTTGTATATGCGAGAGAAATCCTAAGTTTTAATAATGGAAATGAAATTTACTTTTGTTGATGTGATTACTAATCTCAGTAGTCATGTGTGTATGATGATGGGTTTTTAATGCTCACTTATTCAAGTGACATTAATATTTTTATTTATTTAACTATAAAACATGCTAGTTAATGAATCTAATTTTCTTTGTTAAGGATTAATGACACCTACAGATAGAATAATTAGCTACTACTACACACCAAATTGTTCACAATAATTTCACATTAGGATTTAATCCAATGGTTGTGCTTGAATATTTTAGATACTGTTAGAGCAGGATAAATCCTCAAAGTAAGATAATGATGGTGGTTTATTTTAAGTCTTAAAAAAGGTAGTATACTGCTCATTTAATAAATGTTTTAAGTCAGTTATTGTAAAATTAAATTTTGATAACTCAAAATGAAAGGAATCAAATATTCATATTTACTGTTAGCTGCTGTATGATATGAACATTGTAGACTAACCTTTAATACATACTTAACTTTACTATATGCAGAATGTACATTAATTTTCACTAAATGTAAAATGGTGCTAACTTTTATCTTGTAGACCCATCACGCATGAAGCAGTTTCAGGTTTATGAACAGTTTGCTGATCGTCGTAAATACAATGTGACTGCAAGGACTTACTTTTACTTAAGTGAAGCTCAGTGCGAGAGAAACGTAGACACATTCTTGAAGTGTATTGATGCTGTAGCAGGTATGTATACACTTAAAAAGCACATAATAAGAATGTGTGAAATGTTTTTAAAAAGTACCTTGAAGTATAGTGAACAATTTTAAGATCTTTCTGTGGTTTATATGATGCTCATGACTGTTTTTTTTTGGTTCTGTGTTTGATTCTTACTTCTGATCAGTCCCATGTGTGGCTGATCTTTCATCCCTGATTCCATTTCGTTTCAAAGTTTTTGATTTTACTTAAATTATTTGCTCAGTTTCTGGTGTTGTGTAATTCTTTGACCTGTGGAGTTTCTATAACTCATGTTCCTGAGCTCTTTATAAACCTTGGCAATTTAAAGATCTTTGTAAGAATATTAAAATCTTTAGAGCTAATCTATTGGAGCTTTTCATTCATAAAATATTGTTTATTTTCTTTAAAACAACTCCTGTGATGTTTATGCTTAAGAATAAGAATTGTGTTAAAACTGGAAATGGAAATAGCTTCAAGTACAGATTAAAATTATAATAAAAAAAATATACAATAACAATTTTATATTCATTTAATATACAGTTTGGATGACTTTTCAAGAACTTAGCAATTTTCTAAGCATTACATA